GATGGATATAGTTGGAAAATCCAAGGAAGATGTTTCGCTTCCAAAAGGTTTGTTCGGTCTTTTTTCCTTCTCTTGATTGATCTATTCATTAATTTTTGGTGAATCATCCTAAACAACGCAATCATAGATACGACCAAACATAATCTTGATCGACCTGAACAACGCAATATTTTTGGTGTGTGTAGTTTGTGTTTATAATCTAGAGATACACATGTGTATATTCTCATGTTGTTCTGGTTTGTGATCGAAATGAAAACCCTCGGAAACTTTGTCAAATCAAGGCCGCAATCTCTTATCTGCTCTTTTGCTAGAAACCATAATCTGGTTTTTGTTGAGAAACACTCAAAATGAGCTTGAGATTTGGTTTATCATTGTAAAGATGCCATAAGCCTTTGATCGGGGGAACATTTTGTATTTTTTTACCAGAATTCATGAGAGTATCTTATGTGTCTTTGTTTCTTTGCAATTTTTGTTCTTGTACAAATCTGATTTATTCTGAAGTATTGGTTTTGTTTTTGGTTAACGTTAATGGGACTTTGCAAAATAATCCTTACAACCAACAGAATTTGTCATCCTTTTGGTGTTTGGTGATTGATTGAGTAGTGTATCACGTATGCTTGGATTGAATTTTGTCTTGTTTTGTGTAAAATCATCCTTACTTTTGCAGTGTTTGTTTCTTGTTTAGAGTATGCCTCACAGAAAGTTTGAGGATCCAAGACATGGTTCCTTGGGTTTTCTTCCAAGGAAAAGGGCTAATCGACATCGTGGTAACAGTAAATAGATATTATAAGCATACCTATTCCCCATTTTCTTGTAGATTCTGAATTGACATTTTGTATTTTACCTTATGTACTCTGGTGGATAGACCAAACCTTCTAGTTTTTTTTTAATATAATTTTTGTTTTTCTCTTTAATACCATCTTGTGTGTTCTGTGTCAAAGCATCTTCATGCCTAGTTTGTGTTTTGTTTTGGCGTGTGTAGTTTCGTCCTGACATGGCTAATTTGTGTTTCCAATAAAGACCTTTCCTAGGTTCTTGGCTTTGGGGAATTTGTCGAAGAAGTCTACGCCGCTTACGAGCAACATAAATATGAAACCATGGTAAATACATTACACCATCAAGTCAACTAAATAATTTACTAGACTTGAATATATAAAAATCTAATCAGTTTTTTTTTGTGGTCTGCAAATTCTCCAGCAATTCAGCCATGTAAACAAGATCAATATGTAAGTTTCACATAAGAACGAGAAGAAAAACTTGAGAAATGGAAAGCAGAGCTTGATGCTAGAGACGAGGTAAATAATGACCATACTTTTAAAGGGATTAGCTTGTGATAGGTGGACATGGTGACCTTGTCATGATCATGAATAATAAGGCATGTTTCTTTTTCCCTTTTCCTCGATTAATTTAGTCTTTTTTATAAGCTATGTGATAAGATTTTCTAGTGAACTTTAAAGTGACGGAAAGTATAATCATTTTTTCACCATCTTACTTAGTATTTCATTCTTGTCTGATGCATTTGGGTACATATTCAGGACTGTGACCATGACGTTGAAGATAATGATATTAGTACATTTTCTTTACAGGTTTGTCACATGTCAATAAAAGTATAATAATTTATTTGGATGCGTATGTGCCTTAGCTGAAGCAAAGAAAGGAGAAGAGAGTTCTTGAAGACTTGTAATGCTAAACTGATGTTTTAATGTACTCACAAGACTTGTAATGCTAAATTCATGTTTTTATGTACTCAGAAGACTTGTAATGCTAAACTCATGTTTTTAGGCTTATAGTATGTACTTGAGATTTTTTGGTAATATTGAAGGTAATGATGGTCTTATTGGTGATACCATGGGCTAAATTGTAGTTTAGTACTACTAGTATAACTATTATATTGTAGTTTGGTACTACTGGTGTTACTAGGTACTATTGTGTTATAAGCATAAAACACATGTGTAAGAAAATAATAATTAAAAATTTTCATATTTACACATGCGCCGTCAAGAATTAAAAA